GCACCACCTATTGCGAGGCAAACTGCTAGGATAGTACTACAAAACCTTATGACAAAACTCAACCTAACTGACATATGGCGTCAAAGAAACCCTACCAAACGTGAATACACCTGGGCAGGCCTTCATGACCGCGTTAAAAACCGCACAAACAGAACACGAATTGACAGAATACTTATCAGTAAAACGTTAGACGGTTAGACCGAAACGTAACACAAACAGAGATTAAACCATTCCAACACTCAGATCACGATGCGACGTTAATTACGCTAGACCTAGTAAAACTCACTAGAGGCAACGGATATTGGCACTTCAACAACACCTTACTGTCAAACGCACAATTTAATGAGGAAATCAAAGAATTCTGGACCGAATGGAACACGCAAATTGACAACTACCCAAACCCTCTAGCATGGTGGGACAAAGCGGAACAAAAATTTAAAGAAATAGCCATAAAACACAGCACATTAGAGCGAAAAAGAGAACGACAAGAGCGTAACATCTTAGAACAGAGAGTCAAAAGACTCCAACAAACAGCGACCATGACAGGAAAGGACGAAGACGTCACACAATATCTTGCGGCGAAAAACGAGCTGAAACAATTAGATCTGCGCGAGCTTGAAGGTGTAAAAATCAGAACAAAGGCGGAATATACGGAAAAGGGTGAAAAAAGCACACGCTATTTTTATTCGCTAGAAAAACGGCGACAAGCGGAGCAAACAATTAAAATCCTGACCAAAGACAATAATGAAACGATTACAGAACAACAGGATATACTTAAGGAAGTACACGCTTTCTACAAATCGCTATACACAGCAGAGCAAATAGACGAGCAAGCACAAAAACAACTCCTTGATGTAGAAACCCCAACACTCACAGACGAGGAAAGAGAATCATGCGAAGGAGATATAACAGTCGCTGAACTAAAAAATGCGCTCGATGGCATGCAACTAAACAAATCACCTGGTTTAGCCGGCCTCACGGCAGACTTCTATAAACACTTTTGGAATATCCTAAGAACCACATTAGCTGAAATTTACAACCACGCATTTGATCACGGCATCTTAACCATCACGCAACGCCGCGGTGTCATTACACTGATATTTAAGAAAAATGATCGGACACGACTAAAAAACTGGCGGCCAATCACCTTATTAACAACCGATTATAAGCTACTAACCAAAGCTCTAGCGCACAGACTGTCAAAGGTACTTCCTAAAATTATCCACACAGATCAAACAGCATGTATCTCAGGTCGCACGATTAACGACAACGCCAGCTTAATACGAGATGCAATTCTTTATGCCAATGAAACCAAACAAAAACTAGCTATAATAACAGTCGATCAATTAAAAGCATTTGACCGAGTAGACCACAGATTCTTATTCCGCACACTAGAAAAATTCGGCTTCGGACCACAATTCATCAAGTGGATCAAACTTCTGTACAATTCTGTTTTCAGCTCAATTAAAACCAACGGTTGGATGACAGCTTTTGTAAATATAGAACGAGGACTGAGACAGGGCTGCCCCTTAAGCATGCCACTGTACATATTGACGGCTGAAATTCTAGCAATACATCTGCCAAAAATGCGAAAGTAAAAGGCCTTCGGCTACCAAATTCAACAGAGGAAATCATACTATCGCAATATGCGGACGACACAACACTCCTTCTTGAAGACGATCAAAGCATCACGGAAGCGTTTCAAACATTCAATCTATATGAGCGCGGCTCAGGGGCTAAAATAAACGTAGAAAAATGCAAAGGACTCTGGACGGGACATTTCCGAAACAGAACAGACCAACTTTTCGGTTTTGAATGGTATAACGACTACATACCTGAAAAACTACTAGGCATCTACTTCGGAAACATAGATTGTACAAGCCTCAACGTAGACAACAAAATACAAAAACTTGAGGGAATTATCAATGCCTGGTCACACCGAGAATTAAGTCACAAAGGCAAAGCGCTAGTGATAAACGGCCTACTGACATCTATACTGTGGTATACTGCAACGACTATACATATGCCAGAGCAAAGCATACAACAAATCGAGCAAATAATCTACCGATTTTTCTGGAATAAGAAAGCACCACTCGTCAACCGCGATGTACTTGCCTTACCTTTAGAAGAAGGCGGGTTCAACATACAACGAATAAAAACGAAGATACATGCACTCAGACATAACACATACATACGTACGCAGATGGCGTTGTGGGGACCTCTGATGGCGTAAGTTTTCCCTACATTGTGGGGACCTGTGTAAAATTTCATAAAACATGCGTTATGGGGACTTCATAGTGTAAACGTTGTGGGGACTTGAAAATTTGAGTGTAATCATTGTGGGGACCATGCAACGTTTGTGTAAACATTGTGGGGACTCGAATGTATAACCATGGTAATTCTTATTGATTTTAAAAGATTAGTCATTTTTAGACAATAGTTAATTCTGATCAGTTTTACAAATTTTAAAACTTAAGCAATGAAACCTTAAATTAAACGACGCTGTATAGTTTATACATTGATTCATCTCTTACACGAATTTATATTATGTCGATAGCAAGTCCGTACCTGATACTCTGCATATAGTAAATCATTTATACCATACAAAACGCGCATTTTGTGCAGTAATCAAATCATTTTGGCTGTATACAGTATTGATTATAAGTATATTGCTTTGTATCGATTTACGCGTCGAAGTATCCGCATCACAGACATAATTTATAGGAGAAAAAATAAGTCGCGACTTATTTAAAGCTAGATTACAGTCGCTTTTGCGCATGTGCGAGCTTTTTTTCAAGCTCCAAGGCCTCCGCGGCGGAGGTAAAAAGACCCTGGGTTCCTGGGTACGAGGTTGGCTTTGTTTACATTTTTTGTTTTTAATCCAGTTCATTTGCACAACATGAAGTATTCCACAACTAAATTAAAATGGCGGACGCGTCAGGAGTGGAGTTTTATAAAACAATTCAACAATTGTCATTTAGATCACTAACATTTAAATATTATAAAAACTACCACTGGAACATATATCGTGGATCAATTTGACAATTTTTGTGCGTGTATCGTTAATAAAACATTAAAAACAAGCCGATTAAACCGGCGTTTATGTCGCAACCTGAGTGGCTTTAGAATGAGTGAAATTTCTACCACTGCAAAATTTTGGGTAGTGTTCTCCAAGCAAGTGCATTGAAGAGAATTTCGATACCTGTATGATCAATTAAAATTTCCAGAGAGCGACAGTGGCCATATGGTAAGTTTGTCAGGATTGTATCTAAGTTTGAGATAATTATATTATAATGTTTACCAGGGTTGCATATAAGATTCTTTTAAAATTAAAAACTTCTTATTTCTTACATTAATATAAGAAGATATACAGTAAGAAGAAATAAGATAAGAAGATTTGCCAACCCTGATGTTTACAGTGCATGATTGTTGGATTATTAAATTTGGTAAAGGATGATACTCTAGTAATTTTGTTCCGAATTTAAATGACCTCTAACTCAATTCGAGTAAACTTGGAAGTTAATAAAATATATCCGGCTGACCTTCATACCCTGTTATAATATTATAGGATTCAGAATTATACTCTAATTAAAACCTGTGGAGTGAGCAGGACAAGGAGCTAGAGATGGAATTCAGGGAAGAGGACAATCAATGAATTTTCAGGTGGATCTATCAACCACACCCAGAAAATGTTCCAGTTTAATACAAATGTGCCTGGCTATGGTTGTTTGCAATCAAAACATTCTGGACCTTTTCCATGCGTTACTGATATAGATCTCCCTATTAAAGGGAGGATCATTTTAGATATTAAAAAAAAACTTGGGGTACCTGGCACCTGTTAGTTAAATTGCAATGCACAATGCTTAAAACATATTTCACACAATCCATTCCTTGCTACAAACTACAAATTTTAATGAAACTCCTCAGCTATTATTAATTAATACAGGGTTAAATTGTATGGTAGTATCTTATTTCAGTAAGAAAATCCATCAAATATTAAAATATACCAACACAGCAGTTAATACATTGTTTTTTCGTTGACTTAAATTACTTGTTTATTCCTGATAGCCATAATAATTAGAACTCAACAGTGTTAAAACACTGAAGCAGCAGTGATCTACTTTATGGATACTAGTATGTGCGGTTTACTATTGTAAGACATACGTTTTCTTTTAGGTGGAATGCATTTCAGGTCTTATAAGTTCCACATACTCACAGTCATTGTTTCTAAATGCTAGACAATTCCTGGTCTATAGTATTTGGCTGATGGGTTTTAATCAGTCCTTTGATCAAAATGCAGGGACATGAGGATATGTTAGACTCAATTTTGCTTCGGTTGTAACTTGTATCACCAATCAGATTCCATCAATGATGCCCTTTATAACTGGACTTGACAACTGGTACCTAAAGAAGAATTCTAATTATCAATCTTATTCCAATATATAATTGAATAATATGATATAGGTATATTATTTTTATTCCTGTTTAACAGTCTTAAACATGATGTGTTCAAAAGTAGTAAATCAACAGGATGGAATTTCAAAAAAATATCAAAAGTAACTAATAGTTTTTCCACCAAATAAATGTAATATTTTACATAAACATTCAATAATGTGACATCCAGACTGACCTGTGAGGGCTGCGAAGCATTTATACGGAAAGTCTTTGTACGCCAGAAATACTTGTGAAGGCACCAATTACACCCTGTTTTTAATGAAGTTTATAATACCGGGTCTTTCTATGGTCTTTCACACAGTTCCGAACTGGAGACAAAATGCGCGCAAATAATATCGAGGATTCGAACGCCAGACAATTTGTTACACTTTAATCTCTATTTACGCTTGATTTTGAAATATTTCCTCGAAGCAATATATTTGCGAAAATACACTTCAGACACATCTATTACACATATGAAAATTATTCATTGACTTTCATACTTTAGCACATGCGCAAACGCGAACGATAAGCCGCAAACACCTCGTATATTATAATGACCATAGGGCCATTTATAGGAGGAAAAATAAGTCACGAGTCGACTTATTTAATTAAGACGCGACTTAAGTAAGATGCGACCTCGTCGTATAAACGAACCAAAATGCTTGTTCGCGTGTTAGGTAAGACCCGTGCCATGTAAGTCGCGACTTAGATAAGAACAGAGATTTTACCTGTTCATATTTTAGACGCGTCTTAATTAAATTAAAAACGGCCGAAAAAGTCAGAAATCAGAATTGCTGAAAATGTAAGCAAAGCTGACACCATAAAGAGATAAATTGCAGCAAAAAAAAGCGATACGTGGAGCGGCAACAACATTAAATACGGAAATAATAAGCGAAAAAATCATCTAACTATTTATACCAGCTCGCGTCTTATTTAAGTCGCGTCTTAAATAAGTCACGACTTATTTTACTTCGTATTTGGCCCTACCATAATATCCAGACTAACGAAATTTGAGTACTTTGAGTAATTTTCGGTTTGATTAAGAGTGATGACTAATGTTTAACCTAGTTCTTTATATTTTTACTACCATAAGTTAAATGTTTATGTAGGGACAAACGTCTGGTTGCTTAGAGGGCATGAAAATTAACTTTGCACTATCCTAGTTTATCTTGAAAAATGATGTGAAAATTATAGTACAAGTCCTGATAGTTATTATCGTGACTAAACAAAATGTCCTCCCATATCTTACATGTATCAAAAATTATTACAGGAAAATGTCACAAGTTACCTTATTGTACGGTTAATCATTTCCTCTCTGTGAAGGATCGCTAAGTACACTCGTTCGCTGCACTGATTCGTAACTAAATAAAATTTACGTACATATGTAATCCCACCCAAAAAGTGGAACTGACTGGGATAAGAAACTTTCTGATTTGATGGAAAGAGCTAGCGCAAGAATACCTGATGATTTTGATGAGTAACTAAGAGAACTAAGAATTGGATGAGGATGTGAAGACGTATATATACCAGCAAATTGCCAACAAATTCATTGCAAATTTGACTCTAAATTTTTGGGTGATGTTACGAATTATTCGTAACTTTGTGGGACTATCAAAAATGCAGTTTATAACAACAAAGAACTTACAAACAACTTTACAAGTTCAATTACTAATTTCGTTTTTGGGCATTCGCAAAATTAAATGGCTAGCCATAACACAGAAATAATCGCCGCGAACGCCTGAGTCTTGATAAAATCGCAGCACACGCGCACGCATGTATTGGAAACTTGTAGGGATGACTTTATGGGGACCTGAGTGTGTATACAGTAAGTCCTCACAGTGTAATAGTTCTTGAACAAGTCTTGATGTGTTGAAAACTTGTACCAATGACTTTATGGGGACCTGAGTGTACAGTAAGTCCTCACAGTGTGAAAATTCTTGCACAAGTCCTGATGTGTTGAAAACTTGTAGGGATGACTTTATGGGGACCTGAGTGTACAGTAAGTCCTCGCAATGTGAAAGTTCCTGAACAAGTCCTGATGTGTTGAAAACTTGTAGCAATGACTTTATGGGGACCTGAGTGTACAGTAAGTCCTCACAGTGTGAAAATTCTTGCACAAGTCCTGATGTGTTGAAACTTGTAGGGATGACTTTATGGGGACCTGAGTGTACAGTAAGTCCTCACAGTGTAAAAGTTCTTGCACAAGTCCTGATGTGTTGAAAACTTGTAGGGATGACGTGAGTGAAAATATAAGCCGCTATAATTAACAAACTGTTGTGAAGAGGCAATTTACCTATCTTCACCAAACTTTTCTTACAATTTGCAATGCAATTCTACTCCCGCGGCATCTAATGTTGTCAAATACGAACATTTATTACGACCTGCTAACTTTTTTAAAATTTCGAACACTCGCTACAATCTAACATCCCTCAAAACTATAATTGCACTAAGAGTTGCAAGAAAATTGCATAGTGTAACAGTGACAAAGTAGATTTTGTTAAATGTTAACAAAAATTGTAATAAACTTACCACATGCATCATTAAAAAACTCTCAGTCAAAGTTTGCTTAATAGTGATCTTTTAAATGGGTCAATGTAACAAAGGTCAAAAGGATTTCTCACATGTTCCATCCTAAAAATATATATTGCAGGGAAAAAGATGTTAGGAGTAAAATAGATACTATTTCATCTTAAATAGCAAATATATTACCTATGCTGTGTTTATAAATTTAAGTGTCACTATAAAAAGATATAAATAACTAAGAGTTAAAGACACAGACAGGAAAAAAACTTACCAAAATGATTTGCTGTAAAAGTATACGAATGTGCTGTGAAACAGTCGGTCTAAGAAACAGAGAATTGTGTTAAGTGATTATATTATCCATAGGAAAAACAAATATGTCCATGTCAGAAACTTGTATGGCCACGTACTTCGCTTGTCATACAGCCAAAATAAGAATATGCTTGCATTTTGTATTTAAAAGTCATTTAAAGCACAGTAGCAGCAATGAGGGAGGGACTCTGTCGCACTTAAAACTTTACCGTGTCTTTTAAAACGAATCTCTCAAGAATTTTGATAGGCAGACTATTTACAAGTGACTAAGGTGCGTAGGCACGAGATTACACCCTTTCAAGATATAAGGGTTAAGAATTATATAACCTAAGGATCCAAAGATCCAAAGTTTCAGTGCCCTCCCAATGCATTAATGAGCCAACATGACGTCTCTCGCAAAATTTTAACTTCTGCTCATGCAACTCGCAGTATACAGTACTCAAAGAACTTAAATAATGTTCCCTGCAATATCCCATTGCATTATTGAATTCTACAGTATTTTAAGTTGCTCATGCGTTGCGCATTGCATATTTTTTCTTTGTCTTCTTTTGTATTTTTTTGTGTCTAAAGGTCTATTGCACAGTGCCCCGTGTGGTGCATTGGATTTAAACGAAAGAATTAAAATCGTCAAAAAAGGGAATACATTTCTAGTAAAATGGTGCATGGAAGAACACGAAGAAACGTTCAAAAGATGCCAGCAATTCGGTTTAGAAACATCATGGAGTTAAAATAAAGTTACAGATAAAAAATTGGTCGCAAACGGGGACGACTAAGCAATAGACAATTTATGCACTGAACCGACCATCATTTGATTCAGAACAAACAATCAAGGGGTGACAGAATTTGAACACTAATTAATATCCTAGGAATCCAAAGCATAAGAGTAAAATAGATATTATTCCATCTTAAATAGCAAATATATTGCCTATGCTGTGTTTATAAAGTGTCACAATAAAAGAAAAAAATAACTAAGCGTTAAAGACACAGACAGGAAAATAACTTACCAAAATGATTTGCTGTAAAAGTATACGAATCTGCTGTGAAACAGTCAGTCTAAGAAACAGAGAATTGTGTTAAGTGATTATATTATCCATAGGAAAAACAAATATGTCCATGTCAGAAACTTGCATGGCCACGTACTTGGCTTGTCATATAGCCAAAATAAGAATATGATTGTGATTGTGATTATTATTAAAATACTTGAATGGCAGTTCAAAAACGAACTGAAAAACACAAGTTTACAAGTATCAGAAATAAGACTATTTACATATTTACAGTGATAAAATACTCAGAAATACAATTACTAACATGTTAATACCATAACTACAAAAAGATATGCTAACATTAGGTTCTAAAATATTAAAATATTAAAATGAGTTCCATTTACGTATGCAATACGGCAAAAAGCTATCATTATAGCGTTTCGTTCGACATTTAAAAAGAGAGATCGATCGAGGATGTCTGAGATCGTACTCATGGGTTAAAAGTTTGGGTAATAGACTAGAAATTTTACCCGAAGGGTCATTATAATTATTTTTATAAAAGGTTCTGCATAACCGTTCCCTTCTCGCTTCTAAGGTAGGTAAATTCAGGTCTTTAAGGCTTTCGGTGTAGGACAAATGGGGAAAAATAATTTTGAACGCACGTTGCTGAATATGTTCCAATTCAACGGTGAGGAAATTAGGTAGTGAGGTATGCCAAACTGGACATGCATATTCCAGGACAGGTCTGATGAAACTACAATATACCGCCTTAAGATCACTAGGTTGGACACCATTTCTTCTTAATAGCCTTAAGGCATACAGGCGTTTGCTTGCTTTAGAGGATATGTGCCTGATGTGTGTGGTCCACTTGAGATCGGAGGTTAAATTTACTCCCAGGAGTTTGATAGAGTTCACAGCCTCCAGAGGTAGGTTATTGACAAGCAAGGGTTGTGCCGGGGGTTGATTGATCAAGAAGGACACGGTGAAATCTTTAGTTTTTTTACGTTTAATTTCATGTTGTTCACATTCGACCACTGAGACACCTTATCGAGTTCTTGCTGTAATTTTGGAAAAGCCGGTTCACATACTCTAACAACTTCAGAAATAGCACAATCATCAACGTACTTGTACAGTGGTAGTTCACTGGATAGATCATTGACCATTATAAGAAAGAACAAAGGCCCCAATTTTGTGCCTTGCGGAACTCCAGCATTGATTTCTTTCCAATCAGATTTACAAGATTTTAATTTAACGCGCTGTTGTCTGCCTTGAAGGAAACTTGAACACCAGTTTAATAACACGGGTGGAACGTTGAGGAGTTGTAATTTGCGCATTAGAATGTTATGGTCAATTCGATCAAACGCTTTGGAAAAATCAATAAAGCAGGATCGAATAATGGTATTAGGTGTTTCCAGGGCCGAAAGCCAATGGTGGATTAGGTGCACGAGGGCGTGAGTCGTTGAGGACTTTTTCACACAGCCAAACTGGAGGGGATCAATGAATGGCATAACAAAGGGTGCAAGCCAATTGAACACGAAAGACTCAAGGATCTTGCTCAGTACTGCCGTGAGGGATATAGGTCTAAGGTCCGTATCAATAGATTTCGGTGTAGGGATCTTGCTTAAAGGGAGAACATCCGCGCATTTCCACAGATCAGGTACACGACCTTCTCTAATGGAAGAGTTAAACATGGAGCATACAGGGTAGCTAATATTTGCGGCACATGTTTTCAGGATCCAATTGGGGATCTCATCAGGTCCTACAGACTTACGATCGTTAACACCTGCCAATGCAAGTTCAACAGCATCACACGTAATGACGTATCTATCAGGAACATTGGAAACGGGTACTGGAGTGAAATTTAAATGCGGTATATCAGCAGCAGCACTGCAGAAGGATTCATTAATGACGGTGGCAAGTTCAAAGTCTCTCAAGACGGTGCCGTTTATGGCTAGGCTATTAAACGGAGGGGGGTTGGACATTCCTGACAACTGCTTGATACCGTCCCACCACTTTTTAGGATTGCTCTGGTTCATGTGATTGATTTTGTCGTTATAGAATCTTCGACGTGCACTTTTACAGAGTTTTATCACTTTATTGCGATAAACATTAAATTTGGGAAGGTCATTATTCAACCAAGCTTGTTGACGTTTCTTAATGGATTCTTTAATAGCGGGAGTAATCCATGGTTTATCGTTGGGATGGAGTTTAACAGTACGCATGGGAATACATGAATTCAAAGCACCATGAACCACAGACTGGAACAAATCCAGTTGATCGTCACATGAATTTAGCCTCATGAGCGGTGTCCAATTGACCGAGTCCAGGCAGGATATCAAGTTTCGTTTGTTGGAAACACGATAATCACGCTTTTGGAGTCGTGTGGTGGGTATGCTTGGAGCATGTGGTGAAGTGGGTTGAAGTAATATGCTAGAATGATCAGATTGGCCAATAGGTGGCAGGATGGTAGCATCGTAGTAAGCCGATAAAGTTGAAAATGCTTGATCAAGGATATTACTTCCCCTGGTAGGCTTGGTGACCAGAGTTTTCAATCTAAAGGAATTGCACAGATTTCCTGGCTTAAATTGGTTAAAATCTCCGAGAACCAGGACAGCGGAATTAGGATAGTTGGCCAGTGAGGAATCTAAACATTTGAAGATATGCGTTCGAAGCGCGTGGTCATCGCTTTGGGGGGGGTGATAAACTGTTCCCAGGATAATGGAGTTTATTCCTCGGGGTAATCGATCCATTTTGATTAAAAACCATTGACTCTCAATTTCAGGATCGCCTAAGTCAGTTAATTCGGTAAAATTAAGGTTTGAGTTAAAATAGGAACAAAGACCACATTTGCATTTTGTATTTAAAAGTCATCTAAAGCACAGTAGCAACAATGAGGGAGGGACTCTATCGCACTTAAAACTTTATCGTGTTTTTTAAAACAGAATCTCACAAGAATTTTGATAAGCAGACTATTTACAGGTGCATTAGGTGCGTAGGTGCGAGATTACACCCTTTCAAGATATAAGGGTTCAGAGTTATATAACCTAAGGATCCAAAGATATAAAGTTTCAGTGCCCTCCCAATGCATTAATGAGCCAACATCACGTCTGTGGCAAAATAATTTTAACTTCTGCTCATGCAACTCGCAGTATACAGTACTCAAAGAACTTAAATCATGTTCCCGGCAATATTCAATTGCATTATTGAATTCTGTTCTAAGTTGCTCATGCGTTGCTCATTGCATATTTTTTCTTTGTCTTCTTTTGTATTTTTTTTGTGTCTAAAGGTCTATTGCACAGTGCCCCATGTGGTGCATTGGATTTAAACGAAAAAATGAAAATCGTCAAATAAAGGGTTACATTTCTAATAATATGGTGCATGAAAGAACACGAAGAAATGTTCAAAAGATGCCAGCAATTCGCTTTAGAAACATGCATGGAGTTACAATAAAGTTACAGAATTACAAAATTCGTCGCAAACGGGCACGACTCAGCAATAGACAATTTATGCACTGAACCGACCATCATTTGATTCAGAACAAACAATCAAGGGGTGACAGAATTTGAACACTAATTAATATCCTAGGAATCCAAAGCATAAGAGTAAAATAGATATTATTCCATCTTAAATAGCAAATATATTGCCTATGCTGTGTTTATAAAGTGTCACTATAAAAAGATATAAATAACTAAGAGTTAAAGACACAGACAGGAAAAAAAACTTACCAAAATGATTTGCTGTAAAAGTATACGAATGTGCTGTGAAACAGTCGGTCTAAGAAACAGAGAATTGTGTTAAGTGATTATATTATCCATAGGAAAAACAAATATGTCCATGTCAGAAACTTGTATGGCCACGTACTTCGCTTGTCATACAGCCAAAATAAGAGTATGCTTGCATTTTGTATTTAAAAGTCATTTAAAGCACAGTAGCAGCAATGAGGGAGGGACTCTGTCGCACTTAAAACTTTACCGTGTCTTTTAAAACGAATCTCTCAAGAATTTTGATAGGCAGACTATTTACAAGTGACTAAGGTGCGTAGGCACGAGATTACACCCTTTCAAGATATAAGGGTTAAGAATTATATAACCTAAGGATCCAAAGATCCAAAGTTTCAGTGCCCTCCCAATGCATTAATGAGCCAACATGACGTCTCTCGCAAAATAATTTTAACTTCTGCTCATGCAACTCGCAGTATACAGTACTCAAAGAACTTAAATAATGTTCCCTGCAATATCCCATTGCATTATTGAATTCTACAGTATTTTAAGTTGCTCATGCGTTGCGCATTGCATATTTTTTCTTTGTCTTCTTTTGTATTTTTTTTGTGTCTAAAGGTCTATTGCACAGTGCCCCGTGTGGTGCATTGGATTTAAACGAAAGAATTAAAATCGTCAAAAAAGGGAATACATTTCTAGTAAAATGGTGCATGGAAGAACACGAAGAAACGTTCAACAGATGCCAGCAATTCGGTTTAGAAACATCATGGAGTTAAAATAAAGTTACAGATAAAAAAATTGGTCGCAAACGGGGACGACTAAGCAATAGACAATTTATGCACTGAACCGACCATCATTTGATTCAGAACAAACAATCAAGGGGTGACAGAATTTGAACACTAATTAATATCCTAGGAATCCAAAGCATAAGAGTAAAATAGATATTATTCCATCTTAAATAGCAAATATATTGCCTATGCTGTGTTTATAAAGTGTCACTATAAAAAGATATAAATAACTAAGAGTTAAAAACACCGACAGGAAAAATAACTTACCAAAATGATTTGCTGTAAAAGTATACGAATGTGCTGTGAAACAGTCAGTCTAAGAAACAGAGAATTGTGTTAAGTGATTATATTATCCATAGGAAAAACAAATATGTCCATGTCAGAAACTTGCATGGCCACGTACTTGGCTTGTCATATAGCCATAATAAGAATATGCTTGCATTTTGTATTTAAACGTCATTTAAAGCACAGTAGCAGCAATGAGGGAGGGACTCTATCGCACTTAAAACTTTATCGTGTTTTTTAAAACAGAATCTCTCAAGAATTTTGATAGGCAGACTATTTACAGGTGCATTAGGTGCGTAGGTGCGAGATTACACCCTTTCAAGATATAAGGGTTCAGAGTTATATAACCTAAGGATCCAAAGATCCAAAGTTTCAGTGCCCTCCCAATGCATTAATGAGCCAACATCACGTCTGTCGCAAAATAATTTTAACTTCTGCTCATCCAACTCGTAGTATACAGTACTCAAAGAACTTAAATCATGTTCCCTGCAATATTCAATTGCATTATTGAATTCTACAGTATTTTAAGTTGCTCATGCGTTGCTCATTGCATATTTTTTCTTTGTCTTTTTTTGTATTTTTTTTGTGTCTAAAGGTCTATTGCACAGTTTCTTATGTGGTGCATTGGATTTAAACGAAAAAATAAAAATCGTCAAATAAAGGGTTACATTTCTAATAATATGGTGCATGGAAGAACACCAAGAAATGTTCAAAAGATGCCAGCAATTCCGTTTAGAAACATGCATGGAGTTACAATAAAGTCACAGATTAACAAAATTGGTCGCAAACGGGGACGACTCAGCAATAGACAATTTATGCACTGAACCGACCATCATTTGATTCAGAACAAACAATCAAGGGGTGACAGAATTTGAACACTAATTAATATCCTAGGAATCCAAAGCATAAGAGTAAAATAGATATTATTCCATCTTAAATAGCAAATATATTGCCTATGCTGTGTTTATAAAGTGTCACTATAAAAAGATATAAATAACTAAGAGTTAAAAACAATGACAGGAAAAATAACTTACCAAAATGATTTGCTGTAAAAGTATACAAATGTGCTATGAAACAGTCAGTCTAAGAAACAGAGAATTGTGTTAAATGATTATATTATCCATAAGAAAAACAAATATGTCCATGTCAGAAACTTGCATTGCCACGTTCTTCGCTTGTCATACACTTAAAATAAGAATATGCTTGCATTTTGTATTTAAAAGTCATTTAAAGCACGGTAGCAGCAATGAGTGAGGGACTCTGTCGCACTTAAAACTTTACTGTGTCTTTTAAAAGATAAACTCTCAAGAATTTTGATAGGCAGACTATTTACAGGTGCATTAGGTGCGTAGGTGCGAGATTACACCCTTTTAAGATATAAGGGTTCAGAGTTATATAACCTAAGGATCCAAAGATCCAATGTTTCAGTGCCCTCCCAATGCATTAAATGAGCCAACATGATGTCTGTGACAAAATAAGTTTAACTTCTGCTCATGCAACTCGCAGTATACAGTTTCAAAGAACTTAAATCATGTTCCCTGCAATATCCAATTCCATTATTGAATTCTATTTTAAGTTGCTCATGCGTTGCTCATTGCATATTTTTTTTTGTCTTCTTTTGTATTTTTTTGTGTCTAAAGGTCTATTGCACAGTGCCCCATGTGGTGCATTGGATTTAAACGAAAGAATGAAAATCGTCAAATAAAGGGAATACATTTCTAGTAAAATCGTGCATGGAAGAACACAAAGAAACGTTCAAAAGATGCCAGCAATTCGCTTTAGAAACATGCATGGAGTTACAATAAAGTTACAGATTAACAAAATTGGTCGCAAACGGGGACGACTCAGCAATAGACAATTTATGCACTAAACCAACCATCATTTGATTCAGAACAAACAATCAAGGGGTGACAGAATTTGAACACTAATTAATATCCTAGGAATCAAAAGCATTAGAGTAAAATAGATATTTTTTCATCTTAAATAGCAAATATATTGCCTATGCTGTGTTTATAAAGTGTCACTATAAAAAGATATATATAACTAAGAGTTAAAGACACAGACAGGAAAAATAACTTACCAAAATGATTTGCTGTAAAAGTATACGAATGTGCTGTGAAACAGTCAGTCTAGGTAACAGAGAATTGTGTTAAATGATTATATTATCCAGAAGAAAAATAAATATGTCCATGTCAGAAACTTGCATGGCCACGCACTTGGCTTGTCATATAGCCAAACAAAGAATATGCTTGCATTTCGTATTTAAAAGTCATTTAAAGCACGGTAGCAGCAATGAGGGAGGGACTCTGTCGCACTTAAAACTTTACCGTGTCTTTTAAAACAGAATCTCTCAAGAATTTTGATAGGCAGACTATTTCTAGGGGAAATAAGTGTATATATTTTAAATCAGCAGCAAATATATAAACACATTTTATGACTATATATTGCACCAAATCATAAAAATATTTGCTATGGATGCTTTGCCAGTACTGAGTCATTTAATATATAAACTTGCTATTCCATATTATAAAATGGCAAGGGGTGCTTCATGCATGAATTTCTAGTATAACTACATCAACAACTTAATTAGTATTATGCAAAGATAAAATCAACCAGAGGTGCTGGAACCATGGGGCAGCTGCCCCCCCCCCTGCCCTTTGTTCATGGGGGCAGCTTGCCTTTTATATATTCATAGACATTGCATGTATATCTTTTCAGTCTTACTATACATAATCCGAGTTATGATCGCTGATGTGGTTGCG